TTTTTTAAAAGCCAATTTTAGCACATGGTATTATCTAGGCATTACCTTTGATACTTTTATTAAGGTCTTTTAATTTGGTCACTCTTTCAAGCTTGGGTTTAGAACAACAAAGAATTCATTTTACCTTTTCTTAAATAATCTGACCACGGAAGAAAATTGGTAATTTCCTGTGTGACAAAAAAAATCTTACAAAGTAAAAGTGAGACTGACTAGAATGACTTTTTTGTTTTCTTCCCTCTTCTAAATCTACAATGTTTACTACTTGTAAACTCAGCAAAGGGAGGCAAATTATGTTTCTTAATCTTTCTCCAAGTCATTATTCTGCTGTGAAATTTACAAAGAATCACTATCTTCAGGAAAATGTGAAGTATAATCTTGAGATTCGGTTCCAGAAATCTACTAAAACCAGATCCTATTTACAACTTCGACAGCAAGGAAGTTCCCTTTGTTTTCAGAAGCCCCCACTTGAATGGCAGTTAAATTTATTAATGTCAGACACCTGACATGAAAATCTGGAAAAGTCTTAGGTATATCCTACTGGAAGAAATACTAATGGTATTTCACCAGAGAATTTGGAATCTGTAAAACATTGTTTTAATCATTTACATAAATGATAAAGTATAGCATTAAAGTTTTGATTTTTTTTTTACTTTAAATAAAAAAACACACAACCCAACTACCAATGTATTTTAGTATGTCCTCAAATTTCTATATTTCTTATAGGTATAAACTGTCTTATAATCTCAGATATAAGGAAATTAAATTCAAGTATACTTTTTGTTTGTGCATTAAAATTGACCTGAAAACAAATGGTATAGACAAATTATAACTGAAAATATTCCTACAAAAGGTAATTATAATACCAATAAAGGTAATAATGCCATCAAATGGGATTTAGTTGCTAGTTCAAAATGGCTGAAGTCACAGATGATGGGACGTTTTGGTTTAGTTTTTAGTGAACACTTGTAACCAGATTTTCTTACGCTTCAATTTAGCATAAGCTAAAATGTCTAGGAATATTGGTTCTATACAAGTTTAACAAGGACTCTGATAGTATATAATGTGTTATGTGTTGGGCTGCTAATGATAAGGTCAATTGTTTGAATCTGCCAGCTGCTCCTTGCAAGATGAGGCATTCTCTTCCTCAAAAGATTACAGCCCCAGAAGTCAGCTTGAAGGTGGCTTAGTGAGTTAAAATTTGACTGGAGGGCACAGTGGGTTTCGTTTTTTCAACTTTTCACATATTTGTTAAAATAAGTGGGAGTTTATACTTTCGAATTAAGTCTTGGAACTCTTAGGAGAACATTAAGGATTTTGTCATCAGAATCCTTAATTTTTCAAAGAAAGGCACAAACGCACTGCTGTCATACTTTATACTGGCTATCCTTTTTCTGTTCTCCAGTCATAACTTGAAAGCTGAATTTGTATTATAAAGAGTTGGGTAACAAACAACCAAGTATGAAAATGTTTGCACTTTTCCTGAGTGCATTTAAATAACACTTCTATGTAAAAGCATTGGTCTCACTGTATTTTTTTACTCCATGATTTTTTATATGGAAGTTTTTGGTTTTTTTACTTACATGCTATTTAGGAGAGAGAATTGTTTCTAAAAAAAATAGTACCCAGGAAAGAAAGAAAAATGATTTTTTTTCTTTATAAATTTTATAGGATACGTTATGTAAGTTAAATGTAAGCTATAAAATGAAAGGATTTCCACGTCTAAGAAAAATAAACATTTCTTAAAACAACTTGTGACAGATACATAATTTATCATCCTACTTTTCTTTATAGGTAGAACTGCCTATTTTACATAAAGCAAAAGGAAATTTTCATGAAACTGTTCAGATTTATAATCGTTTAGTTGTTCATTAATGACATAGTCTTGCCTTGCTATTTTGTTTTCCAGTTACTTTTATTTATAGTCCTAGAAGTTCCTCAGGTGCCAGATTGCCTATGCCCCTGGGCAACAGAATAGTGCCTGGCACCTAAGGCATTTCTTTATTTCTTGCATGTCAGTATAAAATATTAGTGGGTCAGTGTACTGAATACATGTAGCATCCATAGTACCTAACATGTGGAGAAAAGGGGCTCTGAAAAGCAGCATTGCTTAACCCATGCCTACTAACTAAAGAAACACACATAATTGAGTTCATACGTAATAAAGTTTAGTACTGATGTTTTCTTTTTACTACTACTTGAGATGCCCCAAAGCTTGCAAGTCAATATCCTGGTCTCATATGGGTTTTGAGTAGGAAAAGAAAGCTGGTGACCATTTGAATTATTCACCTAGAAATTAGTATGCCAGAGCAGTAGTCATTTTTCATTGAGGAATTAAAGCTAGAGAAGAGTCAAATATTTTAAGGAGCCCTGGTAGTGCTGTCGTTAAGCACTTAGCTACTATCCAGAAGTTGGTCCATGGCTACCAGCTCTCCGTGTCACATGGAGAGAGTTGACAGTTGGCCTCTGTAAAGATTCCACACTTGAGAACCCAGTTCACATAATGGTTTTATTAGATTCACTAAAGTCTTAACTGTTTCATGTTACCTGGCTAGCACTGAAATGTTGGTTGGAAAGCTGGGTGGAAGAGAGAAAATTCTATAATTGTCAGTATGATCTAGTTCACTACTTGTCCTTAGTCATTGACTTTTAATTCTGTTTTGACCTTCCTATAAATGAGTTGATATCTGCATATTTGGAGACCTAGCTAAATTTTTAGGCATATAGATGATAATGAGTGGCTATCAGATTGAAATTAAGACATTTCTTGACACTGTTCTGTCCCTTGGGTATCAAAAATGTGCTATTTTTAAACATTTTTCTGGTCTTACCTTCAAACCTGCAAACATTTTTGGTAGTCTAATTGCCTACCTCTACAAGTAAACTGGGCTTGTTCAGAAAGGTGAGTAATGGGGGAAACAAGCTTTCTATTTTCTGTATTTGTAATTGACAGATTTTTTTCTGTTTATATATTGTTCGGATGTAAATAAAGAACCTCATAAAATTAAACATTTTGTAAATAAAACTGGGAAAGTAATTTGACTTTGTCAACTTTTTTAAGCCCATCCAGTTTGTGCTTCTAGTTGCTAAATGTCCACATTCTATTTTCATTTGTAGTAATTTCTTAAAAGACTAAAAATACAGTAGATCAACTTTGTGAATATAAACGGCCTTACTTCAAAATCCTTTTTTCTAAATTCTTGATAGTATATTTCTCTTTGGAGACATTTAGGCAAAACAGTATTTACAGACACTAATCGCTTCCTTGTGCTCTTTTGGATGTAAGATTACTTCTATAATTCACACTCGGAGCACCATTTTCCAGAAGCAGTATGCTTGTAAGTGATTGGAGATGTATTCCTGTCAAAATCAATTTGATTCCTGACTTTTCATACTTAAGAATTTAGGGAGGAATTCTTCCTAAAATTTACCAAATAGCCTGCTTGTTCAAGATAGTCCCCTCTCCCACAATGTTCCAGTAACACACTACAACATATTACAGGGTAGTAGTGTAAATAGTTTATTTGCTCATATGCCATGAAAAGACCAGAAAAGTAACATTAACTGCTTTTATAAAACATTTCTAATATTGCTAAGAAGCAGACTCATTAATCAAAAGAACATGCCAACTTTATTGTCCATTTGTAGATTAATAAATAAGCAATTATTTCAAACTGTAATGTCAGACTTTGAAAGCTGCTTTGTGTTGGGTTATATCACAACTGTTTGGGTCATTTTATGGTCATTAACTGTTTTCAATCAAATTTAAGATTACTTAACAGACACAATTTTGGCATGTTCTTTATGGATTTATGGATATGTGACAGTTTAATCTTTCTGTAAATAGGTGTGTGAAAGTGAAATGTGGTAACTGATCCCTAAATTGTCCTTGTAGTTAAATATATATATATATATTTAAAAAAAAACACACTATAAGTTAAAATAACATTCAGATTGTATAGCATAGGCTGATGCATTTTTAAACAATATTTACATTATTACCCAGCAGCTTAGGTGGGATTTAAAGAGAAGTGTAAAAACCATAAAAAACTGCACCAATTTTATAGCAAAATATCTGTACATTTAAAAAGAGGTCTTATAACTACACATTATCCAAGGAAAATGGGACTTTCACCAAAGGGCCCTCACATAAACACAACATAAAAGTCAATGGTTAAATACTATACAATAAATTTTACAATTGTTAATTGGTGTACCAAGAAGCTAAGCTGGAAGCAGAAGGTATAATATAAAAAGTACAAATTTAGCTTCAATCCAGTTTTGTTTTTTTTTTTTATTATTTGGAAATTAAACAAGTGCCCTGCCAGAGAGGAAGGAAAAGTAACAGTGGTTTAGTTGTCCATTTAGTCCCATTATGTATCACTTAAGCTTAATTCCAATGTGAATTAGTAATTTCATTCCAGTTCCCCAAAAAGTAATCTGGGAAATACAAGAACTTCTACACAGCTTTGATACAGATGCCAAACATATCTGCTCCAATTAAAAAATGTAAACCCTGCGATTGTCAGAGGAGAATAAGTCTGAGTTATTAATACTACTGCTAGCAGATGTACTTGAAAGGTGGTCTATAAAGCTAGTAAAATCCCTGACTAGCAAGGCACTGATTCCTTCTATTCTCAGAACTGACCATAATGGTCCTCAGAAATCTAATACTGATTACTGAGATGTTTAGTGCTAATTAATAAATAAATACATGTGCATTATATTAACAGCTGCCTCTGGCTGAAGAACACAGTACTGGAAGTAACATTTTTATGCCATGATAGCCTTGCATTCATGTCACTGAATGTCTCTCACAGATGTAGAATATGAAATTGGAGACAAAGTGTTGAGTGACTTCTGTGCCACTGTAACTGCATCCTGTTTGCACTTGGTTATGGCCAGAAGGAGAAGTTATATGATTATTTCCTTCTGTGTTGCAAGCCCTTAAAAATACAGTTAATGGGTATGGCTGAAACAAAGTTAATTCCTTAGAAGATAGTTCAGCAGTAGTAGCCCACAGCAGATGCATCCATGTTATTTACAATTTATCAGAAAACCAAGGGGGCCATTGTGAGATAATCACAATGTCATCATGAATGCAATATGAAATTTACATTTTGGTTAAAAAACTGAACATTGGTTTAAAAATCAAATCCTATTGCTTTAATCTGAGCAGGTACTTCCACTTTTAGGCACTTGTTAAGGTTTCAAAGGAGAGCCCATCATTTTTAATATTCCTATGTGTTTGCTAAATCTGAGCCCTTAATTGTATTTCTGTTCAAGGTTGCCATTAAATAGTAGCATGTTCACGTTGTCACAGTTTTCTTCATGCACACCCTCTTTCACTCATGCAGGCAGATCTTGAGCTCACATCATTATTTCAGCGGCACCATTAACAGAACGCAAGTTCTGGTCATCAAAGCGCCGCCTGACACTTCTCCTCACCGCATCGGCCCGTCTATATGGCTGGTTTCTAAGATCTGTGGAAAAGGGAGAACGAGTCAGAGAACTGCAACCTTTAATGAGATGTGTTTAAGCAAGACAAAGGCCAGCTGGCAGCCAATCAAAGCAGCTTGTATAGAAGACTCTGTAATGAGCCCTTCAAATTCACTGAGCCAAAGGTGTTCTTTTGCCCTCAAAAATTACAATCAAAAGAATGTAGTATTGGTAGGATTCTAACACGTTAGAGATAAAAGTATAAAGATTATTTCTCTGTCACTGGCCAGAGAGCCTAGCTTGAAGACATTTTTGAAACATTTCAACTAGAAATGTCTGTAGCTTACCCCACCACCCCATCTCAAAGAAACATGTATCAGAAATTCCGAGTAGTTTTTAAATGTAAAACAGACTGCCTTGCCCTGTCATATCCATGACGTTTCTATCAAGGAAGGAACATTGCAAGCATGGTTTCCACATCTGCACTCCATAAAAAATGTTAGGTGAAGTTGTGGGGGTTTTGGTGGATTTAAAAATTAATTGCATTTACCATTACATAGAAATTAAAGTATGACTCCATTTCCTGCCACCCAGTTGATTTTGTCACTAGAGGAGTATTGGCCCTCCAGCACGCTCTACTTTTCATTAGGAGTGCACAGTAGAATGATTGACATGGAGTAGGAATGAGCTTTGTTAACAAATGATTAGTGACTGCACCTAAGTGCTGTACCATACCTGAACCATAAAATGTTTGGCCTCCCTCTTATTTTCAAAACGTTTCATGACAAATTGGTAAACACTTTAAATAGAAAAACACGCAAAAATGTGTCACAAAAATTGCCACTTTTTTTGGGAAAAACGACAATTCTGGCCTAGACTCAAATACTTACAAGGCAAAACCAAGCTGGTGCTTATGTAAACTAAGTCTTACATGCCCTGTTATAAGTGCTGCCTGGAATTCTAAATTCAAGCAAGGAATAGTCTGCAAGAGTACAATGTTAAGTGCTCAATTTTAACCGAAACATAAGCAGTTAAGAGACTTCTCAGCCATTTTCTGTAGAAAGATCACTGAAAAGTCCCCTGCCATCAAAGCCTATGAGCACAATTCTAAGCTGGCACAAATGTAGCTGACACGAGTCAGAGTAAGTTTTAAATCAGATGCCTGCTCCTTGGCTCACAGTGGTATCAGAAGGTCAGAGCTGCACTTTGGCTAAGGCTAGGCAGGGACCTGAAGCTCTGGATTCTGGAGTTTGCTGAATAAGCAGCGTCTTTCCTAAAATCTCTACCGTCTATAGATCATATTTCTTGGACAGGGCCTGTTCGCTGTTGCTTCAGATCAAAATGGAGTTAAGGTGAATAACTTTAATGCCAAAAAAAGAAGGGAAGGGAAGAAAAACCTAGGACACAAAGCAGGGTCCAATCATCAGGAACACCCTGCCCAAGCCGTCACACTTTAGATCAAGGAGGCAGGACAAGGAAGCGTCCAGCAGAGAGGTCCAGCCTCACCTCAGGAATGTGAACTGCAAGACATCTCCCTGGTCAGACCCTCACCAGTATTCCCCTTAGTCATACACCGAAACCGTTAATCTGCATACAAAGGAGGAAGCTAAGTAAAAAGTGATGCTTGCCAGCTCTGTGTATCCTCCACCACCGGTGTGCTAGAAGAAATCCTTACCCTCGAGTGAACATTTGGAAATTTAGTGATATTATTCTTCTTTAAGGCTAAACAGAAAACAAAAACAAAATGATGGTTAAGTAAAAATGGGATGAAAATGGAAAGCAACTCAACTTTAGCGCTTAACATTCCTGGGCATGTTAGCCAACAGAAGAAGAGAGTAGAAGGCCATTACTGAGAGCTGTTAGATAAAACAAGGCAAGGATGAAAGGGTCTACCCCGTCCCCACAGTTCCAAGCTGCTTTGACGATTGGCTCCAAGAAGACAGCCCAGCAGCAAAACTGATAGAAAACATCAGTTGCGAAGATGACAGTTTCCACACTATTAATAAGCACTGGTGGGCGGCTACATGGTAGAACAGTTGACAGCACGCCACAGCCTTTGATATTTCCAGACAGGACATACACAGGTGCAAATCATTCATAAAGCAGTCAAGGCCACAAAACACTCACTTCCATGTCAAGCTCAGCACAGGAGTCAAACAATGGTTGTTTCCCATTAGAGTGGGTATTTCTTTTGTCTCTTTTCTAGTCAACTGGGAACTGGAGAATTGTTCCTTTTCTAGCCATGAAGAATGAAACTCAGTCTTCTTTAGGGAAAAGGCAATCACCTTTTTTGGCCCCTTTTAATTCTTAGAAAAGTGGCATTTCTCAATAGTGGCTACTAGTACATCAGATGCTACCATCATCAGTGAAGCAGGTCAAATATGATTTTATCTGTGTTTGACATGGAACAGAGCTATCAGGGAAGAAGCATGAATAGGAGGGTGCAATTTCCCAAGTCATTATTTTTACTTCCTGTCTCAAAGCCTTGCTCTAAAACAGTTGAACTTAGGAAACTCAGAGGGGAAAAAAAAATTGCTTGTAGGGAAAGGTGTGAAACTATCACTCCATGTCTACACATGAATCTACGTCAAAAGGACTCCTTAGCTTGTTCTGTGAATTCCAGCATACTGCAGATGGTAACGATGGGCTGGATACCACAATTAAGGCACAATTTGAAGCTATGCATAGTTCCCAATTCTGTCTGTAAATTATTCTATACCTTAGAGTGCCTTGCATTCCTGAACACTTTGTAGATCATAGGGAAGTCCGCTGTTAATTCAAAGGCTGAGCCTCTGGTGTTTCAAATCCACTAGCAGCTCCACAGGAGAAAGATGGGCAATCTCCTCTCATTGATTCACAGCCTCAAAAACCCAATGGAGGATAAGCTGTGAGTCAGTTACAACTTGACTATAATGAGTTGTTTTTTTCTCAGTTTGTATTGCAGCTCAGTTTACTATCAAAAGCATGTTAAATAGGTACAAGAGCGGACTGGCTCATTCAGTAAGTGCTCAATAAATAACGTAGTTGTTATTAATTACTATCATCCATTCAAAGATACTAGCCAAATTCCTTATAACCTAGTTGGTCCAAGTCTTAATTCTCAAAGCAGTTTTTTAGCAATTTTTCTGAGAATTCCCATAAGTAGTTCTAGTAATTCAACTCTTAAACACAGAGTCACTTGGATGCATGTATGTCTAACAAGTGGCCGTGAGTAAATAAGTGATGACTGAAATGCAGCATCATGCAGCATGAAGACAACACAAATTACAACATTATGGAAATTACAATTCCATGCTAGCACGTTGAGTGGCCCTGACAAACAAACAGAAGGAAGTAAGAGGTCAAAAAACCTGCAGCAACCTTTTAAGAGCATCAGGTGAGAAAGAGTAATAGTTTAGTAATGGTATTCCTCAGTGAGAACAGGTTCGCAGAAAAATCGAGAGCCACGCTTGGCGGTGCGAGCGGTAAAGGGCACAGTCTTCAGCACTGCATTGAAAATAACAGCCAAACAAGACAAACAGGAGAGAGTGAAATGCCAAGATCTATTGCATTAGTACATGGTTAGTGCTTTGTTAATCACACCTGAGGCTGGAGCTAGGGACTGGGGGGAGTGGGGATGCCATCCAGAAAGGGAGTGAGCCTATACCCATTAGTTAATGCAAGTCTAAAAGAGTTAGACAATTTGGAGCTTTGCAGTGGGGTAGAAAATGGAAAATAGTCCAAATATAATAAAAATGGAAATGTTCCACAATGAAAATGGTAATTATTTTTGAAAGCTGATGAACAGCATTAAGCTGATCTAACAGGAAAATCCTTTGCTGCCCCCGCCACAAGGTGGTGGCCCCAGTTAGCATCCTCGGAATAACAGTGCAGAAACTCCTAAGACTTGGTTCATACAGGAGGCTAAGACTTACACAGGAACCAAGCTGGATTAAGCGCAATTCCTACCTGACAAAAAGGACTGACTGAGGTCATGTACACGACGGGCCCATCAATAAAACTATCAACCCCTGATTCCATGTTAGTCTTCAGGCATTTTGAATGAGGCAAGAGCATAGTAAATACAGTGTGGACACCAGAAGACAAAGTAAAATAAACTTCTGAATTATAACCAAATACCCTAAAGTGATGAGCCGTTGGTCTCAAGACTTAAGGACCACAAGAAAGTAATAACACTAATAAAGACAGTGAGTTAAACGGCACGTTAGGGAAGTCTGCAAGGACTGTGGTCAGTATAAAGCTGAATAGGCTTTATCCACAATATTCTTAATCGGGCAGGTAGGCAGGAGCAGCCACCAAGGCAGGACATGGAACATGGTGGCAAACTGAAGAAAATGCAAGTTACTGGGAGAAAGCCCACTGGAACCTACAGGGTTCAAATGACATTGAGAAGTCAGAAAGTGACTGAAATTTTTCAAAAAGGCCCTTTAAAGGGTGGGAAGCATACTGGCTATTATAAATTTATTCTTAACACTAGCACAGTCTTTTTATGTTTGTTTGTTTGTTGTTTTTGTTTTTTTTTTTTAGAAAATTCTGGATCTGAAGAACTTGGAAACCCTGAGCAAAAGCAGCTGGTCTGGGTAAGGGCAGGGACAGGCATGCTGGGGGCACAGCGTGGAAATACCCCTTACCTGTGATGATATCTTCAATGGCACCATCCTTGCCCTCATAGACATGTCTGTTATCTTTAACCTGTCGCCGCCTTAACTCTGCAATTAACTCTTGCTGTTGTCTCTTTGATTTATGAGAAGGAGACTGAAAGGAAAGGAGCACAGAGATTGGCTTTGCCAGCAGCCACTGGGATTCCAGCGAAATCCAAATGTATGTGAGCGTTGTGCTCATGTCAAGCAGCCTCTGCAAAAATATACCACGAGCACCATCCCAACATTCTGTTCAAATGCAAACAAACTCAGAAAGCTTTCAGGAAGAAAACAAGTGTCTTTGGAAAACACAAAACTTTCCATTCTTTTCCTATTGAAATTGTAAACTTTTTCCATGGAAATGGAAAACTTTTCCAATTAAGCAGCAACAGAAAGGTCACATGCTCCGGCAGCAAGGGACAGCTGATAACAACCATCCACTTCTCAAAATTTTGGTGTAGAGTCAGGATAACTTGACCTGTCTGTGTTTATGATCTCTATGTGTGAATGCCACCCTTCCTGAAGTGCTCCCTCCCACTCCCCATCGGCAAACCCTCCAGCAAGTAAGACCCAGCACCAGTGGGCATTCCCCATGGAGGCTTCCGGGACCCTAAGTCCTCTTGGTAGCAGGCTACCTGTTATAGTGCATCTGCATACAAAGGCAGATTTACATCCTAGATCTCTATGAACTTGGAAATGCTGCATAACATGCTCTTAGCCTTATTCCAGTGACAAAGCAATGAGTGAACAAATTTCCATTGAAGTTTCTAAGCTCTAGGAAGGCATGGCAAGGCTAAGGTCCTTGGCAACTCTGACCTTTGCTGCTTGCCTAGAGAAACCACTGGCCCTCTCCCCACGTGGCGGCCCACCTCAGTCTGTGCTTCTTACCTTGGGATCCTGCTGTTCCATCAGAGCTTCCTGTTCCAGGAGTTTTTCCATGAGAGCTTGTTCCTGCTTTTTCCTTAGCTCATTCTCCTCTTCTGCTTGCTGAGTGCATCAAAAGAAAAAACTGGATCAATGGAAATGACATTCGTCAAGATTTTGAAATCATTCCTAAGAGAATCCTTGGCGAGTTAGGAGTTTAGAAGATGCGTAATGTTCATCTACATTTCATTCTAAATCCATACCCCACTAGTCATTTATGTCATCAAACCTCTTCAAAATCTAATCACCAGAAAGTCACCCAAACCAGGTGTCCTGTCCTGATGGCTGTCTCTCTGCTCAAACTGACTCTTGGTGTCAGACCCCACAGATCTGACCTGGTTCTCTCTCTCTCTCTAACAACTGTGTTGATTTCTTGTTTTTCTTTTTTCCAAAATCTACCCACATATCTCCTGCTTCCCTTGAAAACAGAATACTGAGATCTCTTCCGCCTTTTGTCTGCTCAGAACTCAAAATCTCTGCCATCAAATTTGTTCTAACTAAAAAAAAAAAATAAAAATTTGTTTTAACTCGTAACAGACTGTCTATTGGGCCTTGAGCTGTAAATCATAATAGGAAGAAATGGGCCATATTCTCCCCAGGGGCCACTGAAAGATTCAAATTGCCAGAGATGTAGGCTTTTGGACTAGGCCACTATTTGTCCACAATTAGGAGGGACATGCCATTTCTTTAGCCTCTTGTTTCCTCTGGGGGCCTCATTGGAAGGGACACCCTTTTCTCCCCACAGCTAATTCCTTCCCAAAGGTGCCAGGAATAAGTTCAGGAGAGAACTAGAACAAGTTCACCTCACCTCACCTCACCTCACCTCACCTTAGCTCTCTCAACCATTCTCCTAAGCTGTCTTCTCCAAGGACATTTCAAATGGTCTGGCTGTCAAATGACATGAAGTATCTGTCTAATTTAGGGGCAAAGTGTAAGCTCACAGATCCCCATTTACACCATGTCCACCAATCCAGCTTTTCTCAATAAAGATGCTCACATTTTGACTTCTAAGGCTTTTGTCTTCAGCTTCACTGTGGCTCACAGTCAGACTGGTAAATGAGTTCCTAAGATTTCCTCCTCTGCCCACTCACTGTAGTAGAGGTTAAATCTTGAAACATTTGGTTTGAGGAAGGTTTTAGTTTACAGTGGAGTCCCAACTGCCTTTTGATCCTTGACATTAAGGTTTAGATACCATCTGAGTTTCTTTTTGACCATTAAACCTGCCATGTGGGTATGCTTAGCAAGTCTTTGGTGAGCCCACTGGAAGTAATTCACCCTCAGGGCTTGCACAGAAGAACCAGGGAACGTGCCAGGCTGGCTCCGGACACCACATGGCTGTGTGGTTGGTAACTTTTTAAAATCGCTGCTTGTGTGTGTATTCCAATCACTCCTTTCACCTGCTCAGTGGTCTCATGTACAACAGCGATGGGTCGCATTTGCCACCAATTATGATCGGGTCATGCTTCCCTTTGTCACCAATCATGTAAATCAAAGCCAGGGCCATGATTCTCGGGAACACTTTGAGTGCCAGGCTGATGGTTCCCTTCATCCTGATGTGTGTGTCTGTCCTGTTTATGTCTTAACACCAGCCTCTCCACAGAATTTATGTCTGAATTTGGCAGAAAGGATATCTGTAGATTTAACATCCCTTCAATGTCACTCCTGGTGTCTCGGCAAGCCAGCCAGAAGGACCACCAGGTGCAAACATAAGCCATGGCACCCCAAGGGCACTGATTCTTCCTGCTCCTCTGCTCTACACATGTTCTTCCTGAAGTGTCTGGCTCTGAGACCCGATGGATGCATATCCCAGCTTCAATCACAGAGTTTTCAAGGAGCATACATTTTCCTCTTAGTTTTTAGATGTAAGCACATAACAAGCGCCACCTGCGTCATCTTTGCAGCACGGGAGCACTACCAGGCAGCTCTAGAGTGCTCCCCTGAGTGCTCTGTCCCGCTCTGGGAGCCGCTGACTGCCTGGCTGCTCTGGTTCCACACGTCTTGTCTGTGCTGTGTCTACGTTCTCACACTCACTGCCAAAGACACTGTCCTCCTACTATCAGCTTATGGTATCACAATGACACACAACCCTGCTGAGCAAAGATGGCAAAATACTTCAGCTGAAGCACGGTTCTCTTGTGCATTCATCAGCCTCCAGAAATGCTGAAGAAATGACCTGGTATTCCTAGTATGTTGCTGTTTTGTGCCATCAACTCAGAGCTGACTCACAGCTGATGTCCAGTGGGGTTTCAGAAGCAGCCAAGTGCACGGGAAAAGGCTGCCCGTCTTTCTCTTGCAAAGTTGCTGGTGGATTTTAACCAAATATCACATCCGTCTCTTCTCTGTACAATAAATACTCCTTCCTCAACTTACATTACATAGACAAGGTGAAAAGGCATAGATGGAATTGCCAACTAAGTAGTCCTATATTCTCTAAAACCATCATCCCTCTTTCTTTTCTTTTTTTTTTTTTTTTTCACTCAGACTGCGTCCTCTCCCTCTTCCTCTCCCATGATGGGAGAGAAGAACGATGATCAATGGCAAGTGGCAGTTGCAATGAAGCAACACCAAGAGCCGGCTTCACGCTCAGGAGAGAACGCTGCGTCTCCTCCTCATGGTTTTCGGTGCTCTACACGATCAGAGAAACTTCTCTAGTAACGAACTATAGAAATGATCCCTGAAAGTATAGTCTTCATCCCTCTTTCTTGAGGAACAAATGCTTTTGACACATGCTTCTGAGTCCCATGCCTTTTTCAAACTATGGTTCCCAGCCTGCCAAAGGCAGTCCCTTATTAAAAGGCCATTCTTTGTCTGTCTTGGAGGAAGTGCAACAGGTAGGTTTCTTAGAGGCCAGGATGGTGCAACTCCACCTCACTGTCTGTGGGCAGGCTGTCATGAGGCACCAGTCCATGGAAAAAGACATGACGCTTAGAAAGGCAGAGAGTCAGTGAAAGAGAGCAAGACCCTCAATGAGAGTGGCTGACACAGGAACTATAGCATTGGGCTTGAGCATGACAGGGACTGTGACGGTGACACAGGACAGGACAAGGTTTTGATCTGGTTTCTATAAGGTCACTATGAACTGTCATCAGCTGGATGGCATCTAACGCCATTTCTGGTCCAGATAATGTTAACACCAGAGAATGGTCATACCTAATGACACTAGAGTGTCGCCTAAACATTCTAAAACCTGGGCCAAATCTGACACAAGGAGGCGCTCCTTGACCCTGTTCTGACATGAACACTGGCCTTGGGCCAAGCCTCGCCTCTTTTACCTGTTGAATCAATATACAATGTCAGGTGAGACCTGGCTGGAATTGGATTCTTTTTAACCCTTCACCACCGGTGTGCGTGAACTGTCAAGGTGGCCACAATGATATCAGTGTCCCAGCTCCCCACTGAACTCTCACAAGGGAGTGCACAAGAGCTCCTGTTTCTGAGAGGCCCCAGGACTGTGATGTTGAGGCAGGCTCAACCCGCACTGAGGAACAGAGAGACGCTCCATCTCCCCAGCAGACTGTCACCTCACACTGCCCGTCCTGCCCAAAAGACAGTGGGAGGGAGGCTTCGAGAGAGCAAGGAAACTCTGACCCATCTCATTAAGAAATGAGTGGACAAACACTGAGGACATTGTAACTGATGTTTTGGAACAAGATGTGAATTTTTTTTTTTTTTTTTAAATTTCACTCACATTACAATATATGGGAGGGAAAGCAGTAATGGAAAGGAGGGCTTTAAGGGCTGTGTTCCTGGTTACCTTATAGGCTTTCACAAACCGGACAAAAACTGGAAAGAAGACAGAAGGTGGTGTCGTCTTGGGGTTTTCTCCAAAATATTTTACGACATCATCAAAGGCATCCTAGGAAGAAGCAAATTTCTCTTTAACATCATGCATCCCAGTATTTGAACCTGCTGTCGTGGGGAATAAGGCTGAAGCAGTGGAGGGCAGCAGAGTGGTAATGAGAAGACAGCACTTTCTCCCCCAGAGCCTCCATCACCTCCCACAATCTTCTGCAGACACTATATTTCTCCCAACGCCTCAGCAACGACACCAAGAGAATGTGAAGTGAGACACAGGAATTCACCTCTAGGACCTCCTGCCATACCCGCACACACGTACACATGATCACACTCAGGTCTTTCAAGAGTTGCCTAAGACCACAACAGGACTCTTGAAAACCAATCTAGTTTCAAGGACCTTAGACAGCTTATTTTACTCCATATCCGAACCTTCATTTCAATGTTCTTGACAGAGGGAACACTCAGTCTGCTTGAACCCTGGTTAGCATAAGATCCTCTAAGGCCATTCTACTTGGACTGCTGAATCCTCAATACATTTTGCCGCCTCTTCCACGATAATGTATGTTTCAGGTCTGCTTATGTATCAGTGATTCCCAGTACAGTGTAAGATTTTTAAATCCAAGTCTACAGACACCACGCACCGTGAGCATGGCTGTGCTAAGTGCAGGCCTGTGGCATGCTGCTTTCAATGAACACAGGACTCAAGCAGGATAGAGAGTAGGAACAAAAATGAGGGAGACAGGACAGGTGGAAACTCTACTAGAGAAGAAGGTTAAAAGTCCAAATTAGGAAAGGACAATGATCAGGGCTAGAACTTACAGAGAAAACATTCAGAAAGACGCCCCCTACCCACTCCAATAACAATCACTAGCTACACAGCCAATCTACACTCAGCAAAAAGTGCAATGGAGTATGCCTCCCCAACTAGGGCCTGTACCCCATACAGTTCCAGGGACCCGGTCTCTTCTCTGGGGGCATCCAGGGGCACCAGGACTTACCTGTGCAATCTTAGCATCATCCTGTAGCTTCTTCAGCTTCCCCTCGTTGTTGAGGATGAACTCCTTCAGCAGCGTGTTGTGGTCGTGCATGGTGTACTCCCTCTTGGTCAAGTCCATGCCCCTCTGGAGCTCTTTGACATCCAGTAAGACATTTTCAAGGGAGACTGAAATAGAGAAGACAAAGCCTCAACTGAGAAGATGTCAAAACCATAGCTAGACTGACTGGTGAGCCAAGTTCTAAGGGGATTCTTAAAAGACACAAAAACACAGGACCTTACATCTAGTTTCTGGCTTTCGGAGCCAAAGTTCTTGAAGGCAAGTCATTTACTGAATGTTCATCATCAAGAACAGCATAAGTACTTTATATACACTTCTTGTTGTTGTTATGTGCTGTCGAGTTGCTTGCAACTCATAGCGACCCTATGTACAACAGACCTAAGCCCTGCTCTATCCTGTGCCAATCGCACTGCTTCTGACACCCCCATCCCGATTATTCCAGTCCTGAATCAATCCACCTCATAGAGGAGGGTCTTCCCCTCCTGCGCTGTCCCTCCACCCACGAAGCATGATGTCCCTCTCCAAGGACTGGTCCCTCCTTACAACATGTCCAAAGTACAAAGCCCCAGAATCCTTGCCTCCAAGGAGCAGCCTGATTTAACCCTCTCCAGGATGAATCTGTTCGTTTTCCTAGAAGTCCATGGTACATTCAATACTCTTCTCCAGCACCACAGCTCAAAGGCATCAATTCTCCTTCTATCCTCCCTAGTCATTGCCCAACTCTCTGATGCATAACAAGTGACTGCACTTACCATACATTATTGCCATTAGCCCATCTTGCCAATGAGTGAAAGAATTATATAGGATGCGTGGTGTTAATGACTGACCTGTGTAAAGATTTGGTGAAACCTTAACACTTGGGATCTATGAACAGGAACTCGTCTAGAAATGTAATCTTTGAGGGTATTACCAGTTGGTATGAGGTCTTGCTAGTGGACTGGCTCCTAAACCCTTAAAGTGATGGTCTCAGAGTAGAAAAAAACACAAAGACAGAGGAAAGATGGTCATACAAGGACAAAGGCAGAGACAGGAGTCAAGCTGCAGCTGCAATCCAAGGAGTATCTGAGACTACCTGAAACTGGGAGAGACAAGGAAATATCATCCCCTCATGTTTTCAGAGAAACATAGCCCAGATAATACTCTGAAGTTGAATGCTTAGCCTACAGGACAGCGAGAAAATACATTTCTGTTTTCCAAGCCACTCCAATTGTCGTACTTTGGTACAGCAGTTCTAGAACATCAATACATCTGGCCCAAGAGGTTTTCCCTAGGACATGGCAGAGAAGTTGTTCAAATAAGAAGCGTGGGCTCCAATTCCTCTGCTGTATACAAATATTCCATTCTTCTTACAAGAGATACACTATCAGCTGTCTGCAGTCTCGGAGGTTCCTTAACCCTGACGGACACTCATGGCTACTTAATTCTTACAAGTGTCTTTCTATATTTTGCATTTCTAGTGCTCTCCAGCAGAGGGCAGCATTTTGTAGGTTGAACTATAATTGTGCATTGACTAAGAGGGCTAGAACAACCTTGGATCCTTTTTTTTTAATGCTTGAACCCTTTTTTCCTTCAAGCTGGTTCTTGATAGGCCTTTGCATTTATACTGTAACTGCCTCATCCCACAGAAGAACACTTTTTTGGGTCTCCTGAACCAGCCACCCACAGAGGTCCAGCCCCGCCTCTGCCTCCTTCTCTGATTCATGCACGTGGTTGAACTTCTAATGTTCTCCCCTCAAGAAACTCACGATGTCTTAGTTATCTCTACTCCCAATGCTTTTAACATTGCCAAGTACACAGCAGGCACTCAAAGAAGGTTGACTGGCTGAACAAGGTGAAAGGAGTAAATGAGCAAAGGTAGAAAGAATCTGTGCCAGCCACCTAAGGGTCACAGAACAAACAGAACCATTACAGCAAAGGCAACCTTGGTCTTACCATCTTTCCCATGACATTTTTTTTTCACATGACACTTCTGAGACTCATTCAGATCACACCAAAGGTGTTACCAGTTAGTAAGATGGAAACTGTCTTAACATTTTTCCTTAATTAGAAATTGATATTAAAGAACCTGTAACCATAGCAGATAGGCACCCTAGTGGCATAAGAAGGTTAAGTACTGGGTCACTACTAACTGAAAAGTTGGCAGTTCAAGCCCACCAGCTGCCCCGTAGAGAAAGATAGTAAGATTTACCACTTTAGAAAAGCAATGGAGGGTCACCATGAGTTAGAATTGACTTGACAGCAGTGAAATCTAGGCAAAGGGGAACATAAAAAGAGGAAAACCATTCCAGCAGGAGAGAATTTCTGGTAACTCCCTAAAAATGGATTGCCCTCATCGGTCTGTTTCAGTTTGCATCAGAGTTCTTCGTAGTCACCAACTCATCTCCACCGATTTCATTCTCCACTAGGGCTTCAGCAGCACCTCGCCCATTATCACTGCACCATCTCAGTCAGTCATTTATTCCCACTGTGCCATTATCAAAGGCCAGGAAAATGTGAACAGATACAGAAAATCCAATTATACACTAGTGTGTATGCCTCTGGTGGAACAGTGCAGCACATGTTATACTAGTAACTGAAAGAATAGTGCTCTGAACCCACTAGCTGCTCTGAAGAGAAAGATGGGCACTGTGTCCCATGAAGATCTACCACCTCGGAAACTGCATGGAAAAGCACTACGGGCTGCAATCAACTCAGTGGCAGCAAGTTTTCTGTTTTATAATCTTAACATAGGACACATCCCTGACACACACCTGTCCCAATTTTGAACCATGCAGTGTTTCCTTGCTCTGTTCAAACGACTGCCTCCTGGTCCATAAGCACAATCAAATGTTCTGAATTTCCCATTCTTCTCAGAGTCTGTCACATTTTGTTGTTATCCACACAGTCAAATGCCTTTGCACAGTCAATGAAACACAGGTAGACATTCCTCTGGTATTCTCTGCTTTCTGCCAAGATCCATCTAATGTTAGCTACAATATCCCTAGTACTACAACCTGTTATAAATCCAGCCTGCACTTCATGCAGTTCTCCACTGATGTGCTGCTCCAGTCATTTTTGGATAATCTTCAGCAGAATCTTGTTGCATGTGATATCCATGATATTGTTTGATAATTTCCACACTCTGTCAGATCAACTTTCTTTGGAATGGAAACAAATACAGATCTCTTCCAGTCAGCTGGTCAAGTGGTTGTCCTCCAGATTTCTTAGCACAACTTGGTGAGCACGTCCAGGGCAGTGTCTGTTGAACTATGTCAATTTGTATTCCTGGGGCCTTGTTTTTGCCAATTCTTCCAGAGCAGCCTGAACTTCTTTCTTCATCACCACAGGCTCTTGTCATGTTTCATCAAATTCTTCTGGGTCCATTAATTCCTTTTAGTACAATGACTCTGTATACTCTTTCCATCTTCTTTTAATGCTTCCTGCATTATTTAATATTCTGCCCGAAGCATCCTTAAGTATTGTAACTGGAGGTTTGAATTTATTCTTCAGTTCCTTCTGCTTAAGAAATGCTGAGCAAGTTTGGCCCTTCTGATTTTTCTGACTTGAGCTCCTTGCACATTTCACTGTAATACTTTACCTTGTCTTCCTGTGCTGCCCTCTGGAATCTTCTGTTCAACTCCTTAATATCTTGATTCCTTCCCTTGGCTTTGGCTTCTCAGCAATCCAGTGCAATATTTATAGTCTCTTCTGATATCCATGTTGGTCTTTTCTTCCTCCTCTGTCTTGTAATGATCTTTTGCATTCTTCCTGGAGGATATTCTTGATATCCTCCCACAGCTGCCCGGTTGAAAGGGATATCCAAACTTTTACAATGAAACTGGATAAATCATGGAATAAAGTGTAATGATGACTGCTTCAGTCAGAGAGGTCACGGTCACTAACTCTGTACAACAAAGTCAGAGATGGTCTCATTCTCAAAGATTCCATTTGTAAGTTAGGGACAGGCTTAAGGAAGTTAAATGCTCTGGACGCTAATGGTTCAAGAAGGCAAATGGGGCATTTCTGCCTATCATATCTCTGTGCCTGTCCTCGCTTTTCTAGCCTAATATTATTTTCACCAGCTTTGCCTCTAAAGAGCACTCTGGTTGCACGTTGTCGAAGAGAATGTATTGGCTCTTTTGGCATTTCATGGTATATTCAACACACTTCTCCAGCCTCACAATCCAAAGACATCGATTCTTTTTTGTTCTTCACTGTCCAAACTTCAGATTAATTTGAAGCAATTGAAAATGCCATGACATAGACAGGGCACCAGGCAAGGATGGTGAAATGTTGTCTCGTTTGTCTCAGGTATGTTGTTGGAAGCGGTCAGTCCTTAGTAAAAAGACATCCATCACGTTGGGAAAGGTGAACGACAGGAGAAGGAGCCTCTCAACAGGATGGACGCAGTGACTGGTACAGGCTAGGGCAAGATTCAGAGCTGTTCTTCACAATCTCAATAAACTGTAACCGCCTCAGCGGCAAATAACCATAACACTATTTTTAAAGGAACACAGCACACTGGACGATATATGAGACATAAGAAGCCTTGGACCCTACACCTACTTGTAACCAGTTTACCAAGGGCACTTTGAGCTAAACATTTCATCTTTTAAAAAAGTCAGCTGTCTCATCTATGATGATAATTTTCTTTTGCTTGTATATTGCAGTTATTGCTGAGTCAGTTGCCCATAATCATAGATGATTTAAAAGGAAAAAAATACTTAAATGTTCTAACAAAGTAAAACCAAGACATACTGCTAGCTTAACTTGTGCTCCAGCCAACTGCCAAACATAAAATATCCACACTTGAGCAAGCTAACAAAGCAAAATAAAATGACTATTTGAAGTGATTTTCAGATCCACATCCTCAAATGTCAAACATAAAGAAAAGAGTTAAGAGGAACAAGAAAGGACGAGAGAAGGTCCCAAGGCCCAAAGACTGGGTTCTTTCCAGAGGACACAGAGACATCATCTTCGTGTCCACATTCCCTTTCACTCTCAACAGTGGACAGACCATTGTTGGTCATAGGAAAATAAATAAAACAAAATTAAAAAATAACTCCACAAAAAAACAAACACCCAGTGGACAGACAACACCCCAGATGCTACATTTCAGCTCAGAGCATCTGACTTTTTAAGGCCTTGTCTTTTCAAAGATGTTCTAAAGAGTGGTGAAGGCAGGGGATGGTGGCTTTATGATTAAAAGCATTTAGTAATGATAATTAGTGAATCAAGTACCTGCGGCAGCTTTCTCCACATAATGCAGCTCATTATAGAACACGGACACCTGGTGGTATTTCTCTTTCACCACATTGGATATATAGTGCAACAGTGTTTGCTTTCGATCTGTTGACTTTGTATCTAAGAGCTGAAAACAAAAGAAAACACAGGTTGAGTATAAGAACAAAGGGTTACAGAACTGTTCTCCACCAATGACATTTTTCCATTCAGAGTAACTAACTAGGTAGAGCTAGGTTGACAAAAATATTCCCAGAAGAGATGTAAGATGCAATTAGTGACCCAGCCCACTGACTGTTGCACAAAGGATGTCCCAACTAGAGAGTGTACACATTAGAGATGACTCCAAACCCCTAGTTCCCATCTTTATCTATAGCACTTGTACCCCTACCTTTCATTCACTATACCCCCCCATCCCAGCTTAAACACAGGTAAACATCGGCTTAGAGCTCTCCAAAGTGCGTTGCAAGAGAAGTCGACTGTGAAGCTCCAAGCGCATGTAGGTAACCCCGACACAGCACCTCTCCTACCTGTAGTCTTCACGATTCACTCTACTTTTTCAGTCCTGAGCCTCTGATGACCTAAGACAAAGATGCTCCACTTCTGTCACCAATATGCTCCAACTGCTGGGGCCCAAACTGTGACTGCCTGGACATTTCCTATCTAATAACCTGGCCTCTTAGCTTGTGAAGTCAACCCCGGTACTCAGCTTTCTCAGGTGAAAGTCATTCTAGTTCCATAGCGCCTTGGGGAAAGGATGCCACTGAGGATTTCGACTCTGAAAGGCTGGGCATCTTTTTCCAGCACCATAAAAACTTGGAAATGCAAGAAAATATAAAGCATGGGGGTTAAAGGTCCATAATCCTCTCCAAATGCCCTTTTTCCATTTTGGCTGATTACCATTAATTCAGACTTTGTCTCTACATACTTAGCTGGAATCAAACTCAACACACAGTTTTTAGCCTGACTCCTTTTCTAAGCACGAATTTGCCCCCACCTCGCTGAAAATTGTTCCCAAATATTTTAATAGTTGAAAAAGACTCCACTCCACCTTATGGACAAACATTGTAACCATTTCAAAAACGGGTGGACTTTCAGACTGTTGCTGATTATATGCAATTATAAATAACACACAGCATCCAAAATTCAGATTCTGGAGGGAAAAGTCTTAGGAATGGAATTTCTGAGATAAAGGGTATGAGGATTTTAAAGGCTTTCAGAGTGTTTGCCAATACCACCAAATGGTGTTCCAGAAAATATGTACCAATTTATCCTCCCACTGGCAGAGAATTTTCATTAAGCCACATCACCCCAACTTCCAAGAGCAGAGTCTCAATACTCCAGCACTTAATCCTGGTCAGCTGTTTCTCCTTCACATTGTTCTTTTCTTTTAGTTCACTCACCAGATCTAAACTCTGAAGTTTAAATCCATAAACTGCTCCCCGTTTACTGCTATTCATATAGTTTCCAAGAGCTAAGATGATCTACAAGCAAAGAGAAGAAAAGGTGCGTCAGTCCAGCACCCCGGGCAGAGGACTGCCGTTCACAAACCAGCTCTTCCATACATGCATAGAGGGGAATCTCACTTGCCTCCAGAATTTTCTTGAGTTTTTGGGATGACTTTATAGAGACAGATGCTGCTATAATTGCGTGCAGTTGCTAAATTCCGGTCAAAGAAAGCAGGGGGGGAAAAAGATATGTTAAAATTGAGAAACTAAAATTTAACATAAAAACAAGCTTGCAATTAGATCTTAAAATCTTAATACTAAGATTATATTTTCCTCCCAAATTTGTCTCACAAGATCTTAGATAACTATCACTACCTACAATTCCTTCTCAAAAACTATTAATAGTAACAAGCAGTGTTCATCACAAACCTGTAATCAACAAGGTCAGAGTTACGCATCAACAGCATCTTCTAACAGACTTCAACTCCCTACCCACCACTTCTACTCATGAAATAAATCACATTTCTATCGTTATAAAAATATAGATAGGTATAAATTAATATGTTATATTTATACATCAATGGAGCTGTCCCAGAATAAGAAAAAGCACAAAAGCTATAGTAATTATCCTCCAGAAATGCTCAAGTATTTGTCAATTGATATTATAATCAGCAACTAAAAAATTAATCCAGAAACAACTGGGAAAGAAATAATATTTGTGATATTTGTAAGACTCCATCAGACTGTATGAACTTGGAGAAACAATGAAAGTTATACAATTGTTCAGCTCTTTCATTCACAGGGTCGCTATGAGTCGTCTATGACTCGATGGCACTAAAAACCATCAACACCAACAAAGAGCTCTGTGGGCCTGGTGGATACAAAGTTATGCTACCAAGTCAAAAGTAACTGATTTTAATCTGTGGCACTCAGGCCTGGTTTTAATTGTTTTTGGTCAAACACTCTTCTAAGTGGTATAGCACTGGTATGTCTACTTGCTGTATAGATGTAACTCATGGTTGCTGTGATGCTAAACACTGTGACACTGATGTGTCAAATGTTATGGTTACCCATGTTGGACAGTGTTTGGTGAAGCTCCTCAATTAAAACAAGCTTGGAAGCAGAAGTAACATCCACTTTCAGAAAAGCCTGACTCCAGAAACCCTATGAACCTGGAGAAACAATGAAAGTTACACAAGTGTTCAGGTCTTTCATTCATAGGTCACTATGAGTCATCTACGGCTTGACAGCACTTAACAACAGACTCATACACTGGAACAAGAGATGGCTGATTAATATTTCCATATGAGGAGCCTTGATAACACGGGGGGTTAAGCACTGGACCTAATCTGAAAGATTGGCACTTTGAATCCACCAGCTGCTCCATGGGGGAAAGATGTGGCAGACTGTCCCTGGAAAACTTCAGAGCCTCAAAAATCCTATGAGGCGGTTTCACTCTGTCTTAGAAGGTCACTAAAAAGGGACTTCATAGTGTAGTGAGTTACATTTTGGACAGCTAACTAAAAGGCTGGCAGCCTGACTGCACCAGCTACTCCACAGAAAGATGCTCTTGTTAAGGTATCTCAATGCCATTGAATTCAAAGTGACTCATGGCTGACCCTTCAGAGGGTTTTCAGAGGCTGGAAATGGCCCAGGAGGAGACTGGCCATCTCATCCTATAGAGCAGCTGACGGATTAGAAGCACCAACTCTATGTTGCCCGTACCACTCCTTGTGCACCAGGCCACTAGAGCTCCCTCAAAAAGATACTCAGCCTTGGAAACTCTATGGGGACTGCCATGAACTGACATCAATTCAACGGCAGTGGGCTTATTTCTCTAGCACTAAAATCTAATAAACTTCAAAGGACTAAGACTCCTGTGTTGAATTTAATGTTTCCAATGAAAGCTATAAGTCTGTTCACTAAATATAGAGGGTAATTTTTAGAAATGAAAAGATTTTCCATTTTGCTAACCCAATTAGAGGACTAGTATCTCCTGGAGGAGCCAACTTTGAGAAAACAGATTTCCTTTTCCTCAGTACTCGGCACCCTTGGAAATCCAGAGGGCATCTCCCCCTCCCCGTAGACAGAAATTATGGAACTAACCAGGAGTAACTGCAACCCAGAATTTGAAACTTACCATATCTCAAGCTTATTTTACATGCTTTTTCAATTTGCTTTGCATACATAAGATATGTTTGTGTTTTATGTGCCATTGCAGAAATAAAAATAAAATCCAGAAAGTTTTGGGAATAAGTCCTTAAAGTCCATCACATTAACTACTATTTTAGGAGCAACTTAGGAAGGGAAATAAAAATAATACCAAACCACACAAGAGCTCATTATCTCTGGGCCAGAGCTGATCTACTCACAGGAGTCAGCATCTGAATGCTCTCAGCAAAGTTCCCGATAAAGGCCATGATGGTCATCTTCTGCATGAGCCTCTCGATTTTACTGAACTGCATCATGAACCGGTCCTCATCCGACAAGTTCTCCAGGGGCTTCCTTTCCCGCTCATAGAGCCGAAGCACTTTCACCTCATTCTCAGTTGGCAAGAACCTCATCAAGCACTCTACAAAGTCTACAGGCAACGTCTTCAAGTCAAATCTGAAGACAGGCAGGGACAGCTTTAGTGCCAGAAAGAAAAACCTTCTATCTTTTACCCACACTGCATAGTCCAGTCTCACATCACTGAGTCACAAGCAATAGTGAGAATATTCCCCTTGATCCTGGTTCCTGAAGGGGGTGTAAGTACCTTAACTGATCCTTCTGGAAAACCTGGACCTTACAATAGGCTGCCATTCTGGTTTTAGGCTATTGGTATAGTTTGTTCTAAGCCCCTTAAATGACAATACAGAATGAAGGCTAAAACACCTAGTGTTTAAGTAATTCAAGAACATGGTGTTTCAAGTATAATATAAATATAATATAAAGTACTGCTACATAGTTTAAGATTATATACAAAACTATAAACCAAATGGTAACTTTGGTAAACTATGTCAACCAAGAGTTTGGGATAGTCTTTGTCTCCATAGGGGGGAAAAAAAGTATGCAAATGCCTGTATTGTATAAACATTTTTGCTTTAATACAGACACCCCTTGAAAGAGTACCAGCTCTTTATGCATTTATGCCCAAGTTAAGCAAAGCATTTGCTACAGTCTGTATTTTATTCTCTGAGCAAGTTCTTTTTACACAAATAATAACTGCATTTAATCAACACTACAAATAAGATATATCAAGATTAAAAATGGGAATGCCTATCAGCAAGTCAGAAAAGAGACACTAAACTCTTAAAATACCAATTTATGACTACTTGGTCCCCAAAACATTTAACAACATCTTCAATGTATTCTTAAGTCACCATGGCCACAAGAAAAGTGCAATCAATAGCACTATGTATTATAATGATAATACATTATTTATAATAAGTAACCAGACCAACGGTTTCTATGCAGTGCAAGGATGAAAAAGAACTGAACCTTTAAAAAAATGCAAAGAGCAACAGAAATCACTTTCCCATTGTTATGAATTAAAATATACACACCTGTATCATATTTGCATTTGGCAATGAATTGTGGCATTCCGCAAATGCCATCAAATTTGTGTTCAACAAATCTGGACTGAATTCAGTTACTCTAGAGAAAGCCGATATGTTCTCTCCTTTTGAACATCTGCACTACTTAGCTCAGCTTTCCTTTTATGTAAGCACTGCTGTAGGCCTCCAGAAGAGAGCAAACCAAGATAACAAATGATGGAACAATCCAGATGTTATTTTTCAAAAGCGGTTAATTCCTCATTCTAATACAGCACTCCCTAGGGAGATATCTGGTCCACCTCTTGGTGGTGGTGTGGCACTCAATTCTGAAGTAGTATCTATGTAATAAATGGAATCTCCCAGCAGTTGGTTATCAAGAGTTTCTCCACTTTTAAAAATCTTAGCTTGTGAACCACTATGGAAATATTTCTGTTACCCATCAATTCCTGGCAGGAGAAGCATGGGCAATGTACCACTAAATTTGCCACTGAAAATCCGCCGGAGGGTCAGCTATGCGTCAGTTACGACTTATGGCACAAAGCACCAACAACATCAGTTCCTAACTTACTTGGCTATCATTTTCCACATGGCGCTGAACTTACATGTGAATAGCTTTACAAATCTCATCAGCAGTCTTTCCAGCTTTCCGTAAAGTGATGGCAAGGTTTTTGGCTCTATTTGCTTCTAGCAATGTCACTTTGCTTGACCCCTTCTGCGTTATCTTCTGTTTGCTTGAAGAAAGGTCAATGGCAGGACCTTGAGCTTTTGTCTTGAATATTTCCTCAAACTCATCCACATTTAAATCCTGGTGGAGAAATTAACTTGGCAAATCAGACCCTAGATAAAAATTAACTCAGAAAGTCATCATTTAGACCAATTTTCAGGCATGGAAGACTATACATTTTATATATGTTTTATCCTTTCCATAGCTTGCTCGATTTTCCCTCTTTCTTATGGTTTAACTTATGACACATAAACAGAAAGAACTGTCTAAAGTGAACAATTAAATCACCTTTTAAATCATTAGCTTATACAGATGGTCACCACAGCTTAAAGCTATATATCCAAAGAAAGTACGTGGGGAGATTGAGTTCTTACTTGTGTACAGTTTAATAAAGGGTTTTTATACTCTGTTATAAGGGCAAGGATTATGATATCTATGTGTATGTGTGTGTATTTAAATATAATTGGTATATGCTGTGCTCAAAACTATTTCCTTTTTAAATAACTTTTAAAATAGACTTTCGGAAATAGCTTACAAAACTATATTCTGTGATACTGTAAGGGTTTGTTTTTTTTTTCCCTCCTTTACATCAAGGCACTTTAAGCACTAGCACTTGATCACTGAATCTTCTAGGCTGAGACAGAGCCCACTTTGGCTTTTCTAAGATAAAAGGCCCCTTATTTTGAACCAATAAGAAAGATACCTCCAGAATGCGCTCATCATCAATTTCATTGAAGACTGTGCCATTGATCTGATTGGGCTTCAGAGCAACCCAGTTGAAAACTGGCATTCGGAACTTTGTCTTGATTGGCTTCTTAATTTTCACAGCTAAAGATGCCACAAAAAAAATTTTTTTTAAAATATGAAATTAAGATCCCATGAGAGACCCGTGACCTCCAGAACAAGCAGACGGCAATCTTTGCAGATGACATTTTTAACACTGGAGGAAGGCTGGTTTGCAAAAAGCACCTAAACCATTTTAAAAATGAAAAATATCATGCTAGCCCTGGCCTGAGTGCCAGGTAGCTATTACTTATTAGAGTAACCTGATATAACGTGTAGTGTTAATGCTGTCAAAGCATCAGGGGTTGACTGGAGAAATAAAAGAGAGAAAGCAGGAATTCAGATGGCTGTACTGTACCAGAAATACCAGGACCAGATTTAGGATAAATAAACATTTGACACTAAAATTTACCATTACTGTTACTGGATGGAAGATAGGGCAAACACACTGTGATTTTATTTGACATTGGTGAGTCCAAGTGGAGTCTGATAGCCTGAATTCTTAGTCCTGGCCTATGTATTTCCAAACAAATTGAAGATGATCAGAGCCCACAGGGAGGGACTGTCACAACCTCCAGGGCAGCGACACTGACAGGCTGACTCGGTCTAACTAACGCATTACTGAGGAGGATCTTTTATAACAAGGATTTATGTGTGCTGCCGAGTTATTTCATACAAATAAACATCCACGAATAGCCAAAACTTAAAAAAAAATGTTTTAAGAAGACAGAAAGAGGTACTACTGAGAAACCACGACAAACCGTTTCTCAGGAATGGTTCTAGTTCCTTCTGGCCTCTTTTTAAAGAACAAGTTTTCCTCGGGGCTCAGCAATGTGAAACTTGAAGGCTTCAACGAACACATTAAAAATGCAGAAATCTCTTCAGAGAGAGGAAGGAATTGTTTAAGTGCCAGAAGAAAAGCTAATTCCTCTTAGTTTGGGGAACTGAGCTAACTAAAAAGGAAATCCTTTAAAGAATTCTGTTTACTAACTGGTGCAGTTGTTGTGTGCTGTGGCAGAGTCAGAAATGACTCACGGCTGACTCTGCTGGGGGGTTTTCCGGGGCTATAAATTACCCAGGAGAAGACTGGCCATCTTTTTTTCTGCAGAGCAGCTGATGGATTTGACCAGTGTGCCTGTGGGTTTGCAGCACAGCTCTTTACCCACTAGGTCACCAAGGTATCTTATTTACTAATTACACACCATCAACAAGTTTACCTATATATAATCTATATTAACTCCCTCACAAATGTGTCACACTACCTGACAGTTCTACTATCTGCCATTATAGCAAGTGAGGGTGGAAAAGTCCAGATGTCTCGGTGCAGAACAAATATATGACACTACTGAACGGTGATTTGGCTGCCTGCCTCACTGGGGGTTAACAGGGGAGACAAGGGTGCCACCTCTCATTCCTCCAGAGTTATAAAGGCCATGTGAATTGCAAGAATGTCATCTGATAATTCATACAAAAGCATGCAGGAACACGGAAACACAGCTTTTGCCAAAGCAGATTTTCCACCACAAAGTGTCATGATAGCATAGACTCCACTATCCACCAATGTCAGATTCCTCATCACTTCATCTCTTTTTATGATCCCCAGGAAAACTGATGGACTCTACGGAGCATAGGGGCAGACCTGCCTCCAATGTGGCAATTCAGCAATGGAGGGCAGTGGAAGACCGTGGAGGAAGAGCTGCGAAAGGATCTTCTCACAGTCTGAGGTGATAGGGAGATACCGTTTGTTTGCTACCCTTCCATTTTATTTGTTAACTACCCCACTTTTAACTCTTTAGCAGGAATAGGAATAGGCCTAAGATCAGAATATAGGCAAGAAAATTCTCAGATAACAGCCTTTTCTCACTCAGATATCAGCTCTGAAGAAGACCACAGAGGCGACCACAACATATACCATGTCCCCAGCGTTCAATCTAAAGAAAGGGGCTCTGAGTGGGGTGCACTCTGGTGGCCAAGTGGCAAGAATCTGCACAGCAATCCCAGAGGTGAGTGGTTCGAATCCACTGGATGCTCTGCTGGGAGAAGGAGGGGCAATCTCCTCCTGTACCAGTCAGATTCAATTTGATGGTACACAAACCAGACTCTAAGGGGGGAAAAAACTGAAAAACAGAGCTTTCCCCAGCAGCTCTTCCTCATTCTGTGAAGGATCTCTGCTCTAGTCCTCAGAAGAAGCGACAACTCTTCCAGAGCTGAGGTCAACTCTAAAAATTATACTACTGGGCATCAGGGGGTGGGAAGAGTATCCTTTCTCAGAGCAAAAGGAATATGCCCTATGCAACTCAGGCTGTCGGCTTATGAGACAGCAATTTTTTGCACAGTGTCAACTAAAAGGCACGGGCAACCCTGGAGTTAGACCAGGCCGACACCAGGACTGCCTGCAGACACAGAGTCAAAATGCAAGGATGGATTGAAGTCAGATGGAGTGCAAAGATGTCAAAGCACAGTGTGACCAACAGCAACACAGGGGAAATACGCAACACACTCAGTGAGGAGCAACCTACAGAAAAGCTTGATTGGCCCATCTTTTGTGGAAGCAGAAAGAACAAAGAAAAATAATAATAATTAAAAAATTAGATATGGTTAGCATCAAGGGGCTCTGCAGTTCACACGCTTTCAGCATAGGGTTTCATGCTTCTGGGACTCATTCCACGAGACAACACAGAACCAAAAGCTCATTTCCATTCTGGCCTGCCTTGAAGACTCACTCATTATTTAGTTTGTTTTTCTGAAAATAATCCGTCTTACGAGAGGAGGGTAACTGACCAAAAAACCCTTATTTTTTTTCATTGCAGTGGCTGCAAAGAGCAACCTTGAACAATTTTGGGCTATTCTACAGAATACAAGCAATTATTTTAAATTAAAATATGATCAGCAGAAGCTCCCGTATACATTATGAGGATCCAAGCACAATCTCCTTAAAGAGACAGCAGATAAGACAAGCTTCCCAAGAGTATCCTACACATGTCCTATCCCACGACAGGGAGCCGGATTTTTCTATTACAGATTTCAGGAAGCAAGCTTCACATTTGAAATGCTTATTTCACATTAGTCGTATCTTCTCTAGAGGAAATTCTCAATTAGGTAAATTTAGAAGACTGTCTCTCAACTGGTCTCAGCCAAGAACACACTTGCTCTATTAAAGAGATAAGCCACGCTGTGCTCAAATGCTTGGAAGTGCTGTTATAGGTTTCTGACTCCAGGCGCGATTGGCCACCAGCTTAGGTCTGTCTCTGGATTCTGTCGCATATCCTTAGTCTATCTGCCTTCTGAATTTCAGTCAGATAAAGTTTACCCTACACACAGGGCAAAACATCTCACAAAATGGGCTACAACCAATAATCACCCACATTAAGACCATCCCCAAGAGAGATCAAAGCCTTATAAAAATTGTGTAGATTCAAATTACCACAGAATCACAAGAGTAAATGATAGAAAGTCTTGTGATTGTTTCAATACTTAAGGAACTAAAAAGAGTTTCTTCAATTCCTTCAATTCCACACTGTTGTTGTTGATTGCCAAGAAGTTAAGCACAACTAATATGAACAAAAGACCTGAAGCCTTTCTATAACTATCATTGTTTCTCAAAGTTCATAGAGGCATGTGGTTTAGGAAGTAGATGCCACTCCTGCTTCCAAACCTGTCTTAAACTGGGAGCTCCACCAAACACTGTCCACCATGGGTAACCATTACGGCATTTGGCACCTCAATGGCACAAGGTTCAGTATCACAGCAAACCCAGGTTACCTCAGTACAGCAAACTGATAGACTAGGGCTGTACCACTTAGTAGAATGTTCCTTGAAAATATAACACATACATCCTCTAAATCACAGAAGGCACAGTGCGTACAACATCCAAACACAGCAACCCTTTAAGGCAACAGCTGTACAACCTGAGCACAGAGCATCCCATCTTAGAACTGAGGGAGCAAACAGAAGCCCGCAACTTTTAATGATTAAGAAATGGGCTGACCCCAGGTATAAATTCCATGGGACAGAACAAGACTCACTCAGTAGGGAGTCCTGAGCTGTGGTATCTTAGCTCTGAGCTCTAACGTTAGCACTCAGGTGAATGGAAGTGGATGCTGTATCACACTACATTTTGCCAGGAGAAAGGAGCAGCAGCAAATGAGAGCCACCACAGCAGACCTATCTCAAAGTGAGTGCTCGGGGGTGTGAGAAAAGCATAGTTGGGAACCCAGTACACGTGACAGGTACGCATTTTCACACTCGAGCACCCAGAACAGCCTGTAGATGCAATGGACTCCCAGGGCTCGTTATGAGGGATTTTTGGGTGGCGGTTGTTTTACACATTCCAATTTCCAACAGTTCCACGATGACATCCTTCCAACCTTTCTCCTTCAGAAGCAATAAAAGCTCTAGAAGAAAGTGGCAGACAGAAGACCTTGAAGGGTAGAAAGAAGTCACTCATTTACTACAAACATTATTCTGAACGAGTGTCTCATTTGTTTCTTTGACAGTTTTATGAATCAGAATGGATAAGCAGTTCAGATGAGGTTGACTGTGAAGTACATGAGACGGCTACTGGCGTCCAAGATCTCAGAGATTATTATTATTCCACTGTTGATGGAACAGTTCTTGGCTCAAAGCAACCCTCCATCAGGTTTCTGAGGCAGTATAATCTTTTTGGGAGAAGATCTCCCCACCTTTCTCCCGCACAGCAGCTGGTGGATTTGAACTGCAGGCCTTTTGATGAGCAGACTGGCATTCACATTGCTTCACCAGGGCTAACTAACCCTAAGGACTGGTTGGTAAAACTGTTGATGGGATACTGCGGGATGGAGAAGGGAAAGGTTTTACAGCTAAGACTGGACTTCAGGAAAAGGCTCTGAAAACTACTGCAGGCTTGGACATAGCTTTAGAGCAGTAGTTCTTCATCAGAAGTCAGAAACCTCATAAAGGGGCTGACGTGGACAAAGAAGTGGGATATCCCAGTATCAGGGGGATGGGAACGCTCAGAGCAATTCCCACTACCAGAGAAACACCCACTAGGATTCAAAAAACAGGTTCCAGTAATTTTATAAAGTAAAAATTAATGAATCAAAAAATAAGAAACACTATTTCAAGGCATTAGAGTAACGTTCTCCCTTTCCTACTCCCAATTTCATTTCAAGCATGGAAGGTGAGGTAAGAAAGGCACATTCCATCTCCTGGTTAGTACGAGAACAACCTCCATTATTCAGGAACATCAAAGGCATGGAGAAACTTCTGTTGGCAGCATGCCACCCCCTGAAGCTTAAATCCATAATAGAGAGCTCTGGTGCCCTCAAATATGGAGAGGAAATACCTTGAAGCCAGTATCAGGTAATAAAACAGACAGGTATCCTAAATATCATATTTGATACTGAAAGTACATTTACTAAGACCCAGGGGCACTCAGTTTGGTGCATTCAGATGCCTGGAAGTGTCTGCTGAGTCCCTGAAAAGAATCCCTCCCTGTAACCATAAGACATTCACCTTCCCCGCCCACACTAGCAGAAATGTTCTGATGTGAAGAGGAGATATGTGTGACACATGGGACCTGGACTCGGAAAGAATGGCATTAGCCCCCAAGGCAGAAGACGAATGAGTATTTCTCACCCAAGCATCTGGGATGAATTCTGTGTTCTTACCTGCTAATCCTGAGTTGAAAACCACTGTGGGTGAAGACGTTCCGGGCAGTGGGGGTGCAGAGGGGGGTGGTGGGGGTGGTAAAGGAGGAGCCGGCACAGCCTCAGCTGCAGGTCCTGGGAGAGGAGGGGGTGGAGGAGGGGGAGGAGGTGGGGGCGGTGGCATAGGTGGTGTTACTGGGCCATTTTGCACTAGCAAACGAGAAAAGAAACTGATTAAAATTAGAAGAATGATCTTTTCCACAGTATATCATGTGCATATATCTGAAAAATCATTTGAAAGGATGAAATACTTCTTTCCCCCAAAGACTACAGAATTTCTTCATAGCAATGGAGGAAATATTGCAACATATATAACCTAAAGATTTATAACCTTCACATCAAAAGGTAAAATGTTCTTAAAATCAGTATATAAAAGAATGTGCTAACATAAATAAACCAAGAGCACAAATGGCTAAGTAGCAAAAGAAAAATGCAATTATCCCAACCCTACCTCAGTTCTCATGTCATGGCTTCTTACCTGCTTCAGGTGTATCTGCTGACAGAGGTAGTGGTGGGGGAGGAGTGGGCAAGGGCCCCAAGGAAGTGGCCCCTATTACTGGTCCCACAGGGTTACCAGCCGCTGCTTCGGACCCTGAGGGCAATGTGCCCGAGGCCACAACGGGCAGGATGGCAATCTCCCCATCTCCTTTCTTCTGAATTTTAATGGTCCCTTGTTTTTCTAGTTCATGAATCTTTTTTTCCAGGGTAGACTGTCTTTGAATGGCTTCTTCTTTCTCCTTGACCATTTTTCGTAACGTGTGAACCTGGGTGTTCGCATCTTTGTAGATTTCCTGTCAAAGAGTTCATGGTAAAGAATTGTCTTCACTTGCCATTCCTATCTATTCCCATGAGGTGGCCACACCAAGGGTGAAGAAAATAACAAAAAAAAGCAGGAGATGGATAAGAAATCTCTACACAGCATGGCTAAGAGTTCAAATGCTAGCTGAAAAGGATGTCAGTTAGCACTTTAGAAGACACGCCTGCCTAAAGAGACCATAACTGCCACCAAGCATATGTATAAACTCATGTTTATTGTGGCTTTGTTCACAATAGCAAAGAGATGGAAACCACCTAAGTACCCATCAACAAACAAAGGATAGAGAAGTATGGTATATTCACATAATGGAATATACCATGCTGCCTTGAAAAACAAGGAACTCATGAAATATTATACAAAATGGGTGACCCTGGAGGACATTATGCTGAGTGAAATATCTCAGTCACAAAGAGACAAATACGGCATAATGCCACTGTTATAAAAGAGGGCTGACATTGTGATTGGGGAGGGGGAGGAGACTGAGAAAGAGGGAAAAAATAATGTATACTGCATTGAAACAAATGAGGGAGAGAACTGTTTAAAAGGGATATATGATTAGATATTATTGTCATAACAGGAGTCTAGAATGAAGGCAGCATAGTAGAGTGGACTTGAGGGGAGGGATTTTATGACAATGAAAGAATTTTTCTTTTAACTTTCAAAGAAAAGAGCAAAAATATTACTGCTAGGTTAGTTATTTACATTTAATAAATATGGCTCAGTTTTTCTCGGCAGGTGATGAGAAGTAGGGCAGAAATGGTGCTTAATTGATTTTATAGATGGCTTTCTATGAAACGCACTGACAATTTTTTTGTAGTGCAGGCTTGTGTGTTTTTAATTATTATTTGCATTAGCTAACTTATCAGCTAACAATGGACAACAGGTCCTAAATTAATCAGATTTAGATTTTAGAAAGATTTCAGACTAGGAAACTAGGATTAAATTATTTTGCAGAAAGCACAGCATGCTCTCCTCAAAAGGACCCGCCACAAACCATTCATGATGCCCCCTCGACCAGGGCTCAGGGCGAGGTTTCAACATTTTCCCTTCAATAATGTAATAAACAAAATGGGCCAAAGTATCTCTTCACTAATTATTTCTTTCCGCCTAGGTTTTTGGTGAAAACAAAGAAGTTAATAATTTTCAATTCCAAGCCTGTCCTAGTTCCTTTTATAAGGAGCCCAAAGAGGTTTCAGCAAAAGCATTTCATGGAACCGAAGGCGCTTGCTGGACCTCATACATATGCTCTCTCACCACAAACCTCCAGCAGGCAGGGAAACGTTCTTCACACCCCATCTATTATTAAGAATCTCAGAGTATGAACTTAAATTGAGTCCATATGCTGTACTTTGTTTCAATGGTGTGCCAGAAAATAAATTTCTTAAAGTTAACTGTAGGACATGTCAGAATATCAAGCAACACACGCAGACATGATAATCATCACATAAAATGTGCCATTTCATTAATGGTTGTGTAAAGGCAGGCCACTCGCCTGAAAGCCCTTGGGCATTTTGGTGTTTTTATGTTCTGAAAAATCTCAAACTCATAGATGGCACTTCATAAATACCTGACATGGACGGTGAAACCAGTATACAGTCAAATAAAATATTGGGGATTAGCTGATAGTAAAATAGATTGGTTTGGCTTTGCTTTTTAAAAATTTTATTTTATGAATGCCATTAGGTCTAGACTGTGTGTATCATAACTTCACTGTCTCCATGGCAACCACCAATTCAGGTTTCAAGATGACGCAAAAGAAAGAAATACAAAAAAGCTCCAAGTCCTAATATAAAATAAATAAGTGGTATGCATTAAATCCACGCTGTTTTTATTTCCAACCAAATGAAGGAACCACAGAATGGACCCATCTCTTCCAGATGAGACAAGGCTTTGTTCCCAAAGCCTGTGATAAGGAAATACTGAACCTCCAGTATTTGCACACATATGTACACATCATCTTTGTGTATATTTCATTTGTGTATCACCTCTGAGTTGGTTCCAATAAATACACTGTACCAATGCATTCCTCTGCAATTAATGTATTCCATGCCCGACCAGGCTAAAGCAGATGTATGGCCATATCCACCGGGGGACAGCTGTCACTCTGACACTTACCCGAACAACATCCAGCTCTTTATTCCTCTGCATGAGCTGCTTTTCCAGTTCCACAATCTTGGACATGGCTTCATTCTCTGTGTCTTGTAGTTTTTCAGACAACTGTAAAGTTTTGAAAAGGAAACTGTCACAACAAAGGGCAAACCAGATCTAGGTCCTTGGTCCTCAGAAAGTGCACCTCAAAGACCATCAAGAGACCACCAGCATCCCAACATGTGCTCCACAGGCTGTTTCCTGGCATTGTTAATATTTATTCTATAGCTCTGAGTACATATTAATAATTTATATGTAAGCCTTAATAAAACCTTTATGTCGTCTCCTGAGTTTTCTGTATGTACAATGTGTCTCCCTCCATTGCAAGTGTAGACTTGGCAAGTGTAGGAGTCCCTCAGTGGCACAAATAGTTAACGTGTTCAGCTGATAACCAAAGAGTTGGAAGTTCAACTCTACCCAGAGAAGTCTCAGCAGAAAGGCCTTGCAATGTCCTTCTGAAAACAGAACCACTGAAAACCCTAAGGGGAGGGAACCCTATGAAGTCCAGCTCCACTCTGATCTACACAGAATCATTATGTGTAGGGATCATCAGCATGGTTAACTGGTATCAGCAGCAAAAGCAGAGAAGGAAGATGAGGAGGGAGGGGAAGCTTTCTGTTCTTCTTTATGCCTTCTTAAGAAAGAAACTGTTGGTGTAACCACTATAGAAGGCTGGATGGCGCTTTCACAAAAAGTTGAAAATAGAGATACCATTTGACCCAGCAATTCCACTAATGGGAGTATACACTAAAGAAATCGTAACTGCCACCCAAGAAGATTTATGCACACCAATGTTTATTGCAGCTTTGTTCACAACAGCAAAGAGTTGGAAACAACCCAAGCACCCATCAACAAACGAACAGACAGAGAAGCTCTGGTATATTTACACAATGGACTACTATGCTGCACTGAAAAACAAGAACTCATGAATTATTATACAAAATGGATGACCCTGGAGGACATTATGCTGTGTGAACTATCTCAGTCACAAAAGGACAAATACTGTATAATGCCACTGTTGTGAAGCGGAACTGACATGGAGGGTGGGGGGAAAACCAAGAAAAAAGAGAATAATGTATACTGCATTGAAACAGATGAGGGAGAAAACTGTTTAGGAGGACTATATGATTAGATATTATTGTCATGACAATAGACCAGAATGAAAGCTGCACAGTGGAGTGGACTAGGAGCAGAAGTGGGGGGAGATTTCATAACATTGAAAGAATTTTTTTTTCCTCCTTACTTTTCAAAGAGAAATGCGAACTGGGAGGTAGGGGTGGGCAGGGAGGGAAATGTGCAACAATGAATGAATAGAAATCCAAAGTCTCTGTAAACGTTCATTAAAATTCATCAAAAAAAAATAAGAAAAAGAAAGAAGCTATTGGAAATAGTTGATCCAGAAAACTTTATTCAGTCATTACAGATCAATTTTCACACAATAAAAGGTAACTGGGGAGTCAGTACCAATCATCAGGTGGTCTGCTATAAAAGCAGGTATATACAAATGGCCATAAAATGCCAGCTGAAGCTTCAAAGCAAAGACTGGTTGGGCCCTATGTTAAATAGCTTCTTTAGCACAAGACTCTAGCACTGAGCAACTTCAGACATCTTCTATCTCACTGAAAATGATGACAGTTATAGCAGTAAACCTTGAGACAAGGTGAGGAGGCAGGGTAGGTACATACACTTATTATCTTTAAGATATAATCGTAATCTCAACAAGGCAGAATATGGAACTGGGACTTTTTTTCCAGAGACGTTGCCAATTAGCTAATGTGTAGCTCTGATAAAAGGAGGGCGTAGGGCTTTCAACTTGGCTTTTTAAACATCAGCCAACAAGCTCATTTTCAGAGTGATGTGAAAAGGTGAGAGACATTAAGCACATTTTTCCCCCTAAAGGATATAGAGGAAAAGGAATGGACTAGTCAAAGAGAAAAATTATATTCCCAAAAGAGAGAGAACTCGTTCATTTCATGATTAATAACTACAATGTCATCAAAAAAATTATATCCTCCTAAATTCCAAAATCAATCTCCACAATAGTCTACGTGTTTCCTATTGCCAAAGGGACCCTTTAGAGTAGTGGGAGATGATCTTCACCCTGAAACCTACAGCATCCATTTTCAGCAGGAAGTAGCTAAGAGAATACGCCACCCCTTTTCCTTATGAATCAGGATGAAGTCTCTCTCAGGGAGGAGTGATAGGGAATGGCAAAGGACACACTGACAAAGGAGATTAATCAGAACTGGTTTTGACAAGCACTGTGGCAATTGGACAATTAAAACACTGTCAAGGGGGGGGGGGAAAAAAAAAAGGAACGAACTGGGGAGGAGGGTAGAGAAAATAGTGCAACAATGAATGAATGGAAACCCAAAATCTCTGTAAAGGTTCATTAAAATTAATAAAATTTAATAAAAAAGAAGAAAAAAATAATCATATCCTCACAGTACCTGAGCTTTGTCGTTGTTGTTGTTATGTGCCATCGAGTCGCTTGTGACTCATAGTGATCCTATATGTACAACAGCCCTAAACTCTGCTCTGTCCTGTGCCAATCGCACTGTCTTTAACACTCCCATCCCGATTATCCCAGCCACCTCATAGAGGGCCTTCCCCTCCTGCGCTGTCCCTCCACCCTCCCAAGTATGATGTCCTTCTCCAAGGACCGGTCTCTCCTCACAACATGTCTAAAGTATATTAGACAGAGCCTTAGAATCCTAGTTTCCAAGGAGCAGCCCGGTTTGACCCTTTCCGGGATGAATCTGTTTGTTTTCCTGGCAGTCCATGGTATTCTCAATAATCTTCTCCAGCACCACAGCTCAAAGGCATCAATTCTCCTCCTATCTTCCTTAGTCATTGTCCAACTCTCTGATGCATAACAGGTAATTGCCAAGACCATGGCCTGTATCAGGCACACCTTAGTCTCCAAAGAGACACCATTGCTCTTCAGCACTTTGGAGAGGTCCCTAACAGCA